TTTATCTGACTGAAAATAAGACCCCAAAGTGGTGAATATCTGTGAACAAAATCTGCCTCCCTTTGTAAAGCACGGGTGTGACTGTCCCTGGAAGTGCAGGGCTCTCAGGGCTCCTTTCAGGGCATTCACGGGACAATTTGGGGCAGAACAATGAGGGAAAAGAGAAAAATGAGAAGTTTTGTTGGCACTGAGTGAGGATAATCCTGAAAACAGCATGGGCTCACCTAGACCTGGAACCATAAAAACCCCTGGGCTGGGGTGCTGAGACATTCTCAGTTTGTGGAAGTGTTGAATAGTTCTCCTTGTTSAGATATCACAGTTATTTTTGTCACAGGGTGCACGTGGATCCAGCTGATGTTCTGGCCCAGCATCCCTTGGCTTTGGAACTTTGAATTTCAAATGGAGCATGAAATCRTGGCAGGCAGAGCAGGGCATGGGGTGTGCTCTGGAATTGGGAACACTCACAGAGGGAACAGATCCCGATCCCATGGCAGCAGCAATCCCAACCCTTCCAACCCCATCAGCTGGAAATGGATTGATCAGATATCAGATACAGATAGATCTGATATAAGATCAGATCTGATACAGATATGTATCAGATACAAATTCCTTCCCCTAATGAGGCTTTGGGATTTTGGTAAACTGGGAGGAGACTCCTCAAAGGGAGCAGCAATTAATTGATAACAGTTAATTGATGACAGTTAATCGATAGCAGTTATTGATGACAGTTATTCATGACAGTTAATTGATGACAGTTATTCATGACAGTTAATTGATGACAGTTATTCATGACAGTTAATTGATGACAGTTATTCATGACAGTTAATCGATGACAGTTAATCGATGACAGTTAATCGATGACAGTTCATTGATAAGTTCATTGATAACAATTGATAACAGTTAATCGATGACAGTTATTGATGACAGATAATTGGTAACAGTTCATTGATAACAGTTAATCGATGACAGATAATTGATAACAGTTAATCGATGACAGTTATTGATGACAGTTAATCGATGACAGTTATTGACGACAGTTAATTGATAACAGCTAATTGATAACAATCGATGACAGTTAATCGATGACAGTTCATTGATAACGGTTAATTGATGACC